ATTAGGCTATATTTGTCATTAGTCACTAGGAGCGACCAGGAGACGCGCTTTTTTTTACTACGACGAACGACAGAAGTAGCGACCAGGAGGTGGTTCGAAGCAAACGATGTGTTCCTGGCAAAGTCAGAGCTGGAACCGAACCAGCTTTTGGTTTTGCTACAACAGGCTAAGCCGAAGCTGGAACCAACAAACATTTTTGTTGCATTGTCAGAGTGTTATTCTATGGCGACAACAACGGAGCACATGATTTTTTGCAACCGGCAGATCAAGAGATTGAACCAACATGTGGTTTTGATGCAATCCGCCGGGGTGATTTTTGCGGCGGCAATGTTGAAGCCATGTTGCAACCGGGAACAGCAGAAGCTTCCACCAATGATGTTTTTTTTGTTACAACCGGCAAATCCAAAGCTGGAACTGGAATCGCGAGCGCACAGCATGCGGAGGCCTCGCCGGAGACACGAGGCGTCAGTCTGCTCCAAACCGCGAGCTCCCGCCCGAGTCACGTGGCGAGCGTCGGCGGCGAGCCTCGACAACGAGCGTAGCGGGAACGAGGCAAGGAGGAGAGGGCGGGAACGGGTGTTGCGGGGCTCATAGGAGATGGGCAACTGCCATGCGGCGACCTACGCACGAAGCAGAAGTCGTGAAGTGGGGAGGAAGAAGACGACCTAGATGGATAAGAATCCAACGGCTCGGGACAGGCCGATCCAACGGTTAGCGTGCGACCAGCCGAAGGGCGCGCCGACGGCCAATGCCTAGCATCCGCCTGCTTCCCCTAAAGCTAGTTATAGTGGGAGTAACTTAGGTAGTAACATAGCACACTCCAAGAAAATTTTGCTTATGTGGCATATAGTTAATGAGGAGAGAGATGTTTAGAGTAACATAGCGGTTCCCGAGAAATGATGAGTCTACAAGCTAATAAATGAACCCATCTATAACACTAATACTACTATATTACTTTGCGCTATGAAAGTAGTAATTTAGATATGTGTCAATACAATCTGTCAGCCCCCCTGCAGTTAACCTTGGGGACTACTCCCCACTATGACCAGCCTAAAAATCAAGACGAATGACATGGGGTGGTGCCCCCCGTCTGTGCTGCTTGACTCTCTTCCCTTCGGACGAGACTTGCCTGCTTCCCACGCGTGCGCCCATCCGTGCTCCCACATACGTGGTTTGGTTTCATTGAAACAAAATAAGGTCTGGCTTCACCCCTTAAAATTAAAAGGAAGATAATTAGATTAAAAAAACGACAGCCGTAGGATAAAGTGGGAGCATGGGAGAGCAGGCAAGCCGGATCCCTTGCCCTCTACGAAGCCGCGAGTCAACGTTCAGCTTGGTGCAGAGCGGATCGAGCTGTGGAAGCGGAGCCATGGAGTCTGCGGCGGCGAGCGCCTTCCTGAGGAGCGTGATGGGGAGGCTCTTCCAGGTGCTGGAGAAGGAGTACAACAAGCAGAAGGGCCTCCGGCAGGAGACCTCTCCATCCAGCAGGACGTCCGCATGATCGCCGCCGCCATGGACGACCGCCTCCACGCCCTGGGCCGTGGCGAGCGCCGCACCGCCGTCGCCAGGCTGTACAGCGAGGAGATGCTCGGCCTGGCGCACGACGCCCAGGACTGCATCGACCGCATCGTCCACCGCCTCACCTGCAGGCCCCGCGTTGGCGGCGGCGGAGGCGGGGGAGGAGCGGCGCTGATCCGCCGGGTCGCCGCCGTCGCCCACGAGCTGAGGAAGGTACAGAGCCGCTCGGGCTTCGCCGACGAGATGCGCAAGCTCAAGGCCCGCCTCAAGCAGGCTCATGAGCGCGTCGTCAGCATCCCCATCGCCGCCGCCGCCGCCAGCTGCTGCCACGAGCGCCCGGCGGTAGCCCCGACTTGTCGCGTCGCGCGCAACCCGGTGGGCATCGGGAGGCCGGTGGAGGAGCTCCTCTCGCTGCTGGACGAGGTGGAGGGGGAGCCGGAGCAGCTGAGGGTGATCTCCGTAGTGGGGTTCGGCGGCTTGGGGAAAACCACGCTCGCCAGGGAGGTGTACAAGGCCCGTCACGCCGTGGAGAAATTCCACTGCCGTGCTTGGGTTTCCGCCGGTCGGTGGTCGCCAGAGGTCACCGGCAACGGGGTCAGTGAGATCCTGCGCGATGTACTCCAGCAAGTTCGCCCCAAAGACGCCATGGATGTTGTTGTTGCTGATGATGGCCAACGTATTGAAGCCTTGCTCAAGGAATACCTCACGGATAAGAGGTGTGCATCTTTACCTACTCTTTACTTCGGCTCCCAAATAATTTACGTAGATTGTTCTTAGTGAAATCTGAATTTGGGGATCTAGTGAAATTTCGGGGATCTTCACTATTGAATTTCATATGCTACTCCCAAATAATTTAGATTGTTCTTAGTAACATCAGAATTTGGGGATCTAATTTCTATTGAAATTTCTTCTGAATTTCTGAATTGCATATGCACTACTCATCTTCTAACCTCTGTTTTTCATCTCCCAATTTTATTTCTAGGTATTTAATTGTCATAGATGACATTGGGATGGAGCAATGGAGCACTATAAATTCCATTTTTGAAAACAATGGCAAAAGCAGCAGAATCCTACTGACCACAACTATTCAGTCAACAGCTAATATCTGCAGCCATGGCAATGGTTATGTGTACCAAATGAACACACTTGGTGAAGAGGACTCCAAGAAAATAGCTCTTCAGGAGGTACCGTCGCCTGAGCTGGAGCAGGGGTCCATGACGCTGCTGCAGAAATGTGGTGGTCTTCCACTTGCTCTCGTCAGTGTCTCCGATTTCCTGAAATGCTCAGGTGAGCCTACAGGGGAGCGATGCGCAGAGCTATGCCGTAACCTGGGTTCTCATCTGAGAGAGAAGCATGGCCATGACAATTTCACGGAACTAAGAAAGGTGCTGATGCATAACTATGACAGTTTGTCTGTGTATGCTATGACCTGCTTGCTATATCTTGGTGTATTCCCAAACAACCGTCCCCTCAAGAGGAAAGTTGTTATCAGGAGGTGGTTAGCCGAAGGATATGCACGGAGTGATTCTCTTCGCAGTGAGGAGGACATTGCGGATGAGACTTTCAAGGCGCTTGTTGACCGGAATATCATACAGTCCATTGATACAAGGAATAATGCGCAAGTGAAGACGTGCATGACTCATGGCATCATGCACGAGTTTGTGCTGCACAAGTCTGTGTCACAGGGGTTCATCGCGACATCGTCTCGTGATCATCCAAGACCTCATGCCCATGTTAATAATGCCTGCCACCTTTCTATCCATGGTGGCAATGTGACAGATAATGAGGCCTCTGACAAGGATTTGTCTTGTGTTCGGTCTCTGACAGTCTTTGGAAAAGCAGGTGATGCTATTTCTTATGTCCGTAAGTGCAAACTGCTACGAGTCTTGGATCTGGAAGAATGCAATGACCTGGAAGACAGTCACCTCAAACACATAGGCAAGCTATGGCATCTGAAATATCTAAGTGTTGGGGGCACGATTGCGAAGCTTCCGAGCAGTATTGATGGACTGCATAGCTTGGAGACCCTAGATTTGAGGAGAACCAAGATAAAGACTTTGCCCATTGAGGCCATTATGCTGTACCACTTAGCCCATCTGTTCGGAAAGTTTACAGTTGACAAAGAAGATCTAAACAATGCAAACAAAATGAGCAAAGCAATGAAGTTCTTGTCCGGAAACAAGAGCAACCTGAAGACTTTAGCTGGATTTGCCACAAACGAGAGGCAAGGGTTTCTTCAACTTATGGTTCACATGAGAAATCTGAGAAAGGTCAAGATATGGTGTGGGCCAGTTGCAAATGGAAGTAACTACACCAATGATCTTTCCAAGGCCATTCAGGAATTCACCAAGGTCCCCATGGACAATGTGGGTGCCCGTTCTCTATCACTTGATTCAGAAGAATGTTCCGAAGACTTGCTGAGTTCGCTTGCTTTTGAGCCATGCCCCGAAGATTCCAAATATGATGTAAGGTCACTGAAGCTACGTGGCAAGCTATTCCAGTTACCCCCATTTGTTCCCTTGCTGTCAGGTCTCACTGAACTGTGTATTTCATCAGCTACTCTGACACGGGATCTTCTATTGTCTCTGATCAATTTGAGAAACTTGCTTTACCTCAAGTTGATTGCGAATGAGCTTGAGAAATTTGAAATGAAATCAGGGGCATTCCCAAGCCTGCGGCGTCTGTGCTTTGTGGTGCAAAGTCTCACTTCAGCTCTGCCAGCAATCGAACATGGAGCTCTGCCAAACCTTGTCTCACTCCAGCTGCTTTGCCTGGGTCTAGCTGGTTTTTCCAGCATCCAAATCAGACACCTCAGACATCTCAAGGAGGTCACGGTCGACTCTGGAGTGCCTGACCAAACAAGACAAGACTGGGAGCACGCAACAAAGAACCACCCGAATAGGCCGAGACTCGTGTTGCACAAAAGTGGTGTTCGAATGGAAAGCGAGGGACCGGGTAATGAAGAAGCTTCTGCTGTGAGGGAGAAGCGGAAAATATGTGTACTCCAACCGAGTTTGGATGACGGACTGGATTCTAGTCTCAAGAAGATGAAACTTTCATCAGAGTCTTCTTCGCGTCTTCAAGTGATCGTCCATTCCACTTCCTCATCTGGTCACTGAGGCAGATGGCAGTGCTACTTCAGTGAAGCAAACTGCTACGGTGATGATTCAGCTTGTACACACAAATCAGAGACAGAATAGATGATGAGCTGCTGTTGTATTGTGTGGTGTTCTGTTGTTACAAAGTTCACCATGCTGCAGATTGTAAAATAATCTTTGTTTCCATGTCCGATCCACCACTTGCAACTGTATATTCACGTCATGCAAGAAACGGAGCAGGGCGAAAGCTAGCACTACGTCGACTGTTCTTCAGAAGCTAACAAACAGCTGCTTGCTGGTTAAGCCCGCCGCCCACCATGCTGCCCTGCACGGCGTCGCGACGGAGCTCATGAACGCCCTCATGACTTCTGTGGAGGCATCTCTCTAGAGCAAGCACATGGCGTATTCCATGACAGCGGCATTGCAGGGCAGCATGGTCCTCCTGTCATCGCCGCCTACAAAGCCAAACTCCTCCTGGGACATCGTCAGAAGCTCGCTGAAGATCAATGTGCTGAGGTATGCTAGCGGCACCTCGAACCGCGCCCTGTCAGCGGTGTACAAAACACAGTGGCCCTTCATCGCCACTGACGGCGATGTGGCACAGCACTCGTCATTGGCTGCTCCTTTCGCCACTGTCGTGGTCTGGGTGAGCCTCTTCCTCTGGATGGCCGCTATTTTCTGCCACTTCTTAGCCATCATCTCAGAAAGTCTCTTGGCACTAACCATGTTTTGTTTTGCTCCTCCTTTCTTGGCTAGGTGTAGTGGTGCTGCTTTAGCTTGTACTTTCTGGATGAACTCAAGTGATGGTGGTGCTAAGCTGATGAATTTATAGGTGAGGGATAAAGGAAAGAGAACAATGCAGTTTAGGTCCAGCTATCATGACAAGTTGGGAAGCCATGAGCTCAGAGCATGCAATGCTGTAAGTGCAAGGGCAAGTAGTGTGATCTTGATTAGATTCTCTGGGGCCATCTGTTTGCCACTTGTTGGGGACGATGCTTTTGGGCATGCTTGGACAATACAGTATGCTGCCATACTCACCTGTTTTAGTGGCAACCTAAGAAGCATATAACGGAATGTGGGGACCATGTGTAGATTGTGTCATGATCTGTTTGTGATTGTGCAATGAGATACCAACTAATTATTATTTTTGGGTGCTTGGTAATATCATAATGATAAGAAGTACAATATGTAGTGGTCCCTTAAAAGAAGTCCTATATAGAGTGGCCCCTGAGATGGAGATATCTAGTCTGACAGTTGTTGATGACTTCATTCCCATCACAAATCATTGTTGAGCAACTTGCTTGATCGAAAATCTTCCTTTATTTGATGGTCTCCTTGATTAGTGATATCCAATGCAACTAATTATTACTGAGTATTGACTAGATGATGATCAGTGAACTGGTAATGACAAGTTAGGGATTTTCTTACAGTTTTATATTTTGAAGTTTTGACTGCCTAGAACAGGAGGGATGATATGCAGAAAGCTCAACAAGAACATGTCCAGAAGGAAATGTGGCCCATCATTCTTAGACAGAGGTAATTCCTTTTCTGGATCATTTGATCTTATAGTTCTTCTGAATTGTTATGTCCAAGTCTAAGTGTCTAACCAAACAGTGACACGAAACAAGTCAGAGACACTGACAACCCATTTCCTGACGAAACAAACGTGCCTCTGCATCATTAAACAAAACTTACATGAAATCAATATTTACTGAGGTTGCTGTCTCGGACCATACCCCATTTCTCTTGGGCATGGGCAATGTGAACTGGTATGCAGTTTCTTTTATGGATTTTGGTTTGGGTGCATACACGGAGGTTGCTGTCACGGGTACCCGTGCGTCTCCAGCGCCCGTCAGTTAGCAATCTCAGTTGTAACATTACTGCAGTGCCCTTGATCCTACTGGTCAAATGACATATAGAAGTACATTCGTCCAAATTGTTACTTATCTATTCGTAAAACATATCTCATTACAACAACAACAACAACAACAACAACAACAAAGCCTTTAGTCCTAAATAAGTTGGGGTAGGCTAGAGGTGAAACCCATAAAATCTCGCGATCAACTCATGGCTCTGGCACATGGATATCAAGCTTCCATGCACCCCTGTCCATAGCTAGTTCTTTGGTGATACTTCAATCCTTCAGGTCTCTCTTAACGGACTCCTCCCATGTCACATAAAACATATCTCATTGCTTTTGTATTTTTGAGGCAGTGAAGATTCCCCACTTTGTAGGGGAACTAAGCAAATTGATTGCTAAGGCCCAAGAAGGTGGACACCGAGAGAAGCCTAGCTACGCAAGGGGCAAGCAAATGATATAATTGGTTTTTATTATCTTTTTGAGGCAAAAATGATAGAATTGGTGGTTCAATTGCTTGGGGTGGTGGTTCATGTGTTAATTTGATAGGGTGAACCCCTAAGCAATTCGGTCCAAACTCCACAGCCATAGGTACAATATATAACTAATCCTCTCCCTTGGTCTCCTCTAGGTACGCATTATGGTTTTCATGGTTATTCGGTGTATCTCTTAATTGTTTTGTTAAACCGTGCATGATTTAGTAAATCAAATTGTGTGCGATGGTTCCCTTCATCGCACAACGTAGGTCTGGTGAACCTGTGCAAGACATCGGTTTTACTTTTCTGACTCGTGCGTGATGAGTTAGCCATCGCACGCACAGCTCCGTGCTAGGATGTGCTTTACTTTCTGAAGTAAAGATATTTTGGGCCGGTTCATCAAACACCTTACATGCTTCTGAGGAAATTCACCGAAGACATAACTCACATACCTTTGTAATTACTCATATAGCTCTAACCACATGACTAACATGAGATTGGGAGGTACAAAATCCTAACACAACAAACATTATCTTGACAATGTGATGCAGAACACAAAAGCACAATCCTTCAGCCATAAGAACTTTTTTACTATGTGTTCGTTAGCTATGAACTAGACGGGGAACTAACGAAGGGAACCAAATGGATTGGAGAAGGCAGGGATGTCTATAACACATACACATACGGGGAGTAACGAAGGAAACAAAATGGATTGTAGAAGGCAAGAATGGCTACAACACATACACACACCTAGTCTTGTTTATCCAAAAAACATTCACTAATTTATGATATAACCAAATTGGAAACTTTAGAACCTGTTGACGCCAGTTTTTGTCACAACAGTAAACATAATTAAGATGGCCTCGAATGAAAGATTTTTCAACATGAAAAAGTTCCGTGTTGTTGAAGTGAACGACTTTTATGTTTAGGTCATTGTCATCCGACCATATCTTAGGGGCCGAAGCTGAGCTCGGAGTATTGAGATTCAGGGTTTTGGAGTACTGTTCGGCTGATTATCCCTTCAAGATGACCTTGGCTGAAAGAGTTTTCTGCATGAAATGCCTTCGTCTCGTCGAGCCGATTGATTTTGATATGTAAATCATCTCAATCCAATGTCATATGCGAAGATCAGGTTGAAAATTTCCATCGGGCAATCTGAGGTCCCTTGCAATCCGAGGTCCTATGCAATTCTAGGACGTATGCAATCTAAGGTCATATAAGATCCAAGGTCACAAAATTTTGAGGTGTTGAAATCCGAGGTATCCGGCTGTCCTGCGTATCGTGCTGCCGGTCAGATCTCCTTCGACGTGAGCTGAGGTGCATCACCCCCGGCGTCGAGGGTACATGTGACGTGTTCGCGTGCGAACAGAATCTACTTTAGTGAAAGTAATAAAAACATGTTCACAAATTGATTCATATATCTCATGATCCAAACATCTACTTAGGCGTAACCTCATGCATTTACTGTTTCACATAAGAAATCTAAATAATTCTGTAACTAAAAATATGAAAAGCAGCATTCCACTATGGGTATGGAACAACGAGATACATTAACTTTATACTTTACTATTCTAAATAACAAAGTGATAGCAGATAGTACATAAATATAGCACCAAGTCCTTCACCCCCATATCCGGGTAACAATATCTTTGTATGGCACAACATCCTTTCCGGTTCTAGCTTATTCTCCACCCGTGTTTCTGAACCATTTTCCCCAAGTAACAACAAAGTTGACATACACCTTGTCATATAGCTCGTCAAACAGCACGAAATAAGCATGTCTCCATCTCTTCATGAACAGAAGTCCACAAAATACCATCCAAACGCCTGCCACAAATCCCACAATTAACCCAAGAAGTAAATCCGTTGGAGATAGACCCCCTTTGTGCCATCTTACAGAATCTCCGTGGGTTGGTTCGTCTTCAGGAGGGCCAGGACATTGCCTTGGAGTCGGATATCCACAAAGAGTTGGATCATCTGCATTGAGGATGTCAAGTTGATGCCCCGTGGGCACTCTTCCTGAGAGATTATTATATGACAAATTTAGATAGCTCAAATATGTCAAATCTGATAAGCCCCAAGGAATTTCACCAGCAAGCTTATTCTTCGAAAGGTCAAGAGACTCGAGTGATTGAAGATCACCAATCTTATCGGGGATAATTCCACTCAACAAGTTTGATGATAAATTCAGATTTATGAGACCAATAAGAGAGCTTAGTTCCTCTGGAATTTCTCCAGTTAAACTGTTGCATGATAAATCAATGCTCATCAGATATACGGTATTCTCCTTGTAGTCAAGCACTTGCCCTTTTATTACCACTGATAAGCTATCATCGGACTGTCTCTCAAGAGTGGACACACCCTCGTTTTCAGATATTTCATCGAAAGGACTGTCCCAATCTGGATCTAAGGCCTTAGCAGTGCCACTCAAAGCTTTGAGGTCATCCAGAGATTGTGGTATTACACCAGAAAAGTTGTTGTTAGATAGATCTAAAATACGAAGAGCAGGAAGTTCCGTTATCTGATATGGAATGTGACCAGAAAAGTTGTTTGATCTTAACCGTAGCATTACCAACAAAGGCATGTCTTCACCAATCCGTGTAGGTAGGTTTCCACTGAATTTGTTTCGACTTAGATCGAGGAAACGCAAACCTCGGCATTTCCTCAGGAATAAAGGAAATCCACCTGAAAGACTGTTGTTGCTTACAAGGAGGATAGTTATTCGCAAACTAGATGAACATGTGGAACTGACATTTGAAGAGTTCTTGCTAGATGCTTTACATTGCTTTAGCTCCTTTCTGCCACAATCAGGAAGTTCCCCTACAAGCTGATTGTTTGAAAGATCTAAGATCCGCAGTTGTGGCCATTGACAAATCGAGGTTGGAATAGTGCCGGTCATAGAATTTGAAAAGACAACCGCAACCTGTAAATGTGGAGCTTCCAAATTTGACGACACGAACCCATTTAAGGAGTTTCTAGAGATGTCCAATACTTCAATTGTTCTTGGCAATTTCGGTACCAAACCAGTTAGACAATTTGAGTGCAGATAAAGTGTTATCACTGACATGAACTCCAAGTTGATGGGTAAGTTGCCGCTAAGTTGGTTTGAGGACATGTCCAAATGTTCCGCGCCACAAAAGGTTGTCCAAAACCAATGTGGAATCCTAGTAATTAGACCCGTGTTTGAAATGTCAAGGTCTGAAATGCCATTTTGCCCTCGAAGCCATTGAGGAAATCCGGGACCCAACTGACAAGATCCAAACCATGCAATATCCAACCTGAATGGTGTTTTCCAGCCCGAGTCCATGGCGACCTTCAAATTAGGGCAAGACAAGTCAAGTATCTTCAAGTTTGTAAGACCAGCGAAATGATCTTCTGATATCACACCACTCAAGTTGTTGCCACCAAGCAACAATTCTGTCAAATTTGTCAGTGTGGCAATCTCCACAGGCAAGGGACTGCTCAAGTGGTTATCACCGGCATGAATTGTTCTTATGCTGGTTAGGTTTAGCAAAGAATTTAATGTCGTGCCGGTGACGTTTGCCTCCGACAAATAAAACTCTTGCAAAATCTTCAAAGAACAATTCGGAAACCTCTCCATTAAGTCTGATATGTCCCCACCGATGTTATTGTAGCTGAGGCCTAGAGACTTCAATTTACACATATTTTCCATTGTTACCGGTATCATCCGGTTGATATTATTAAATCCCAGGTCAAGGGTCTCTAACAAGGTCAAGTTTCGCAACACATTAGGAAATGAACCTGATAATCCACATTCTAATAGGATTAGCCTTTTGAGGCTAGTTACACCCCAAAACCAGTTTGATGCAGCAAGGCTATCTAAAGAGTTATAGGAAAGGTCAAGTTCCTCAAGAACTGTAAGGTTGTAGTGTACAAGTGACGGAGTGTTATTTTGAAGGTTACACCAATCGAGATTCAGTACAACCAAACTGGGAAGAGCGTTCAGCGAATGAACCCAGTCAGTCGCTGCTTTAAGGTCCACAGAGCCCATATCAAGATGCTCCAGTGAGTAGAGACGTGCTAACCAAGATATATCCATGGAGTGTAGGCTGTACAGACAAGAATTATGGCTTATGTCAAGGTGTACCAGTTTGGAGAGGTTGCCTAGCTGAGGAGGCACTCTGCCACAGAAATTCATGTTGGAGAGGTTGAGGTATACCAATCTCTCGAGAGAACCCATGAAATCTGGTATAGGCATCCATTCACCTCCGAGAAAGTTCCCGCTAAGATCTAGATGCTTGAGGTGTTGGAGAGCAAGCAATGAAGAAGATACCTGTCCCCGCATCGAACGAGAACGAGCTTTGGGAAAACCAATGAAATCCTTCGCGGAGAAATCATTGCGCAGGTCCAGCTTGATGACGTGGCCAGTCCAGTTGTTGCACCTTACACCGCTCCAGTGGCAGCAGTCATGGCCGTGCCATGAGACGATGCGATTAGCTGGGTCGCTAGTGACGCCGGCTTTGAAGGAGAGCAGCGCGGCCCTCTCGGCGGCGATGCACCCTCCGTTGGGTATATCACTCGCATGGGCAGAGAGCACGGTGACTATGGTGGAGGCTGCAGCTAGGATGAGGAAGAGGCAGCTGTGTGAGGAGGGTCGCGTAGTTGTGGCCATTGTATTGTTCTGTTCTGCCTGGTGTGTGTGTGTGTGTGGGCGTCAAGCTGAGGCAACCTTTGCAACACGAGCAGGGGAGGAAATTTCCACCGTGCTTCCCTTAATTGTTGTCATTGGAAAAAATCAACAGTCAAGAAGGCTGGGGCCTAGACTACTGTAGGTAGCAATCAGTTTTACTGTTTGAAAGATTAGTCTGCTGGTGTGGAAGAACGGAGGAAGGTACGCAGTGTCTTTGTTGGACCAACGGTTACCACAAATTCCGAGTCACTAATTGGGCTTTGATGTGATGTGACTACAGGAGAGCACTCGCTGCCACTATCTTCGTACTACATTTCAATGGATCGTTTAGGTTTCTATGGATCACGATGGAATTTGGAGCATCAACACTGTACATTTCAAGGCGCTCACCCCTGAGCTGCAGGTAATTTACAACTTATTCCACGCCTGCAATTCCTATAACATACCAAGGCGGCACCTTGAACCACGCCCTGTCTGCCGTGTACACCACACAGTGACCCTTCATCACCACTGACAACGATGTGGTGCAGCACTCGTCATTGGCTGCTTCTTTCGCCGCTGTCGTGGTCCGGGTGAGCCTCTTCCTCCCAATTCCCGCTATTTTCTGCCACTTCTTTGCCATCTGAGAAAGTCTCTTGGCACTAACCATGTTTTGTTTTGCTCCTCCTCCGTTCTTGACTAGGTGTAGTGGTGCCGCTTTAGCTTGCGCTTTCTGGATGAACTGATGAGGTGATGGTGGTGCTAAGCTGATGAATTTATACAGATGAGGGGGAAGGAAGAGAAGAGAACAATGCAGTTTAGGTGCAGCTATCCTGACAGGTTGGCAAGGGACAGAGCCATGAGCTCAAAACATGCAATATTAATGCCGTAAGTGCAAGGGCAGGCAGTGTGATCTTGATTAGATTTCTCTGGGGCCATCTGTTTGCCACTTGTTGGGGACGATATTAGCAGGTCTCTTGTCTTGGGTATGCTTGGAGACATCATAGTATGCTCCCATACTCACCTGTTTTAGTGGCAAAGACAATAGGCATGCACGAATTAGGTCCAATTCTATTTGTGTTGTGAGGTACTGTGCACACTAATAATTATGAGTTATTGATGATTGCATCCTATTGAAATGAAACATGTAGAGCGGCCCCTGAGATGGAGATATCTAGTCTGACAGTTTGTTCATGCCCATGAGGTCATGACCCATGACAGGTTGTTGCTGAAGAACCAGATAAGATCTGGTCAGCGGCCCAAAACTACACACAAGATTACAAATACCTGATGTCTATCATCAACTGCTGGACCACATTTCTCAGTTGAAACTCGAGTTGACCATCTATATTTTTGTCCTATGTAGAAGCATATGTTTTTTAAAAGAAAATGATGTAGAAGCATAGATGGAGAACTGCTGTCGACATGGTTTTCGTGTAAACTTCTTGTTACATGATTTATTCGAGAAAGAGGGAGTTTTGACTGACCAGAACAAGATTGATTATCTGTGAGAGATTTTAATCATTCTTGCTTCCATGCCATGTTGGGCTAATTAGTACTTCCTCCGTCCCAAAATTCTTGTCTTAGATTTGTCCAGATACGGATGTATCTAATACTAAAACGTGGCTTGATACATCCGTATTTAGACAAATCTAAGACAAGAATTTTAGGACGGAGGGAGTACCAGTTTAGCTACATTTCAGTCAGCTGGGCCAGTCAATTTTGAGTGAAGGAAGGAGAAGGAAAGGATAAGGAATGGCCTCGCCAGAGAGAAGGAAGGGGCTCGCCGGAGACAAGAAAGAGGCCCGCCGTCTTCACCCCACTATCTATCTTAGGGTTCAGGATGGTGGACGGCGGCGGTGGTGGGGGGCGTTGGTGAGGCGGTGGTGTGGCTTCGCCGAAGAAGAAAACTAGATGGGGACGGGGCTAGAGGGATGGCCCATGGCCGGCGGCGGCGGCAAGCCTGGCAGTGTGGGAGGTCAAGGGGAGGGCGGGGCGGCAGAGGCTGGCGGTTCGGCCTGGGCTGAAGGGCGGCCAGAGGAAGAAGATGAACAGTGTGCGTTGGATGAAGATCCAACGGTTCAGATAGAATCGACTGGTCACAAAAACGATTCAGTCGAGTGATGCATAGTCATTCCAGTTAGTACTCCAGCATTCTCTATTCTTTTCTAGGGACAATTTGGTATCATGTGCCCTTCAAATCTTGGGTACACATTCTCTATATAATGGAAGATTAACTCCAGGCATCTGCTTATAGAGATCTTTGGCGTGCATTATGCAACTGAGCCTTAGCTTAATTTGTCACGCCCATAGCTGCAGAGCCACTCAGCCTTGAGAAGTCCCAACTCTGCTCTGAAAAAACAAGAGCTCGTCTGAAGTGAACCACTAGCAAGTGTCAATCTGTGAACTTGCAATAAGATCCTTGAGTAGCTAATTTGTGAATCTTGAGTAGCTAGACACAGCAGCTCCTTGATGGCATGCATCGCATAGACTCTTCCTCCCCATGGCCATGGCAGCCATCCTCTGCCACTTTTTTTTGTTCTATGGGCCGCCACTTCAGAATCTGTCGCCAGGATGAACGGCTTGGTGCTCGATCTGCTCCAAAGCTAGCTCGACGCCCTCCCTGCACGCAGCTAACTCAGCCCCTCCACCATATATACTGAGCTCGTGGTGCACATAGATGTGCATGATCGTTCGTCGAGGGTGAGGCGATACGCTGTGCATGATCGTTCGTTGAGGGTGAGGCGATATGCTGATCGCACGCTGAAGACACCTTGAGGGTTCGGAGCCCAAGCTAGGACGTCGTCGCTGCGGGGTGGAGATGCCTTGATCTTCAGGATCTCGGTGACGTCCGTGGCCATGAAGTGTTGTGCGAGAAGATCTTGGTTGCATCTGCCATGCTCGTCAAGCAGTTTGGAGACACGTTTTGTGCGGAGTTCTGGAGCAAGGAGACAACTGGCATGGTAGCAAAAAATGTTGTTTTTGTGATCAAAGTTTTCATATGGTTTTTGCAGAGGGTGATAGTTCTTATCAAAGATAACCTTGCTAAGCGTCCAAGATCAAAGGTTTCATGTGGTTTTTACAGAGGGGGTAGTTCTTACCAAAAATAACCTTGCTAAGCATAACTGGCATGATAACAATTTTGTTTCTGCTTTTGTGATTAGGAGGAGACAATACATCATTTATCTTTGTCATGTCCATTTACTACCTTGATATGGCATGTGATTCATGTTACATACAATCTAGCACCATCAATGTATTCCAAGTTTGTTTGGAAACTAGTTGGGTAGTAGTCATCATAAGCTAAAAGGCCAAATCATTGTGGGAGGCTGTGCCATTCTCTAGGAAAATATGGAATTTCCAGATGAATGCGTTTTTAACAGATCGTCTATTCCTAATTTCTTGCAGGTTATCTACATGGCTACACATTCGATCTATATATAGTCATCACTGCAACATGTGGACGCGTGGGCGCTTCTGACCTCTGGGTACAGCCGCCTAGAATCTGTTGCGCAGAGTTTATTCAACCAGTTTGGCTGGCAAGCCACTAGTAGATTATGTGGATGAGCTATGTAATTGCGGGTTCGAGAGGTTATGGTCTCTTTTACTGAGCATTTTCTCAAGCAGGCGTTAATAATTTCGAATCCTTTTTGTGAGAAATAATTTTCCAAAACGAAGCCAACAAAGGTGAATGGGAATGCCAAGATAACAAAATGGAAGCTAAGAAGTTGCCTGTATTGGTGTTGTTCTGTCTTGGCTTTTCAAAAACATAACACCTCTCTTTTATGGACATTAAGTTCAAGTCCAGACAATTTTTTGAACAAGCAATTGATCAACTTAATATTAATCATTTTGTCTATACCATGTTCCATAAAAATAATAGTGTCGTGTAATGTAGGACAGAGACTCCCCCATTCACCAGGTGAGGAGTGAGCCCTCGTACTGATCCATCCTCCTTAGACTTCACTATAACGATATCCAACATATCGGCGACCACATTGAACATGATGGGCGATGGGGAATACCCTAGTAGCCCCTTAACACCAACAGCTACGTCAACGTTGTGATGCATGGATGCATGATAACATCGGCAGAAATGAAAGCATAGGCAAAATATGGATGCACGCATAGTGGTGCATAACTGTAAGCATATGGCACTGTGTAAGGAAGTATAGATAATAACGATAGAAATATATTTCATAAAAACGGTGCTTACAGCCAAACATACAGTGACGGTGGCTTATACGAACTCATATGTAGGATATTAGTAGTAATGGATAGAATTCTTATATATTCTGGGCTCTGGACCTGACGACGACAGGGCAGCAGTAATAATAGCAATCATATATAAGAGACACCGAAGACAAGGATCAATCCATCAACGACCTCCTTTCCAGTTTAGTTCGCCGGGGCGGTAGTTGACGCACGAGGAGCTGCTGCGGCGGCGGCAAGGTTGATGTGCTTCTCGACAATGCCATCTAAGGTTAGCCTGCGGCGGATGCTGGCGGCCATGCTGGTGTCTTCATAGACCGACGCTGTGCTCTTCCGCTCGTAGACGATCTGCTCATAGGCGCGGATGACGCAGTCCACGGTTTCCTGCTGGGCGAGGCGTTGCGCGGCGAGCGCGACCTCAAGGTGGACGCCCTCCGAGGCCGTGGCGGGGAGCCACAGCGCCTGCAGCGCACGGAATAGGTCGTTGCCGCGGAGGCCGGCGAGGGCGGCCGGGAGCGTGGTGGCAGGGCGCATGCGAGTAAGACGCGCGGCGAGCTCGTCCGCCGTTCTTGTGACGACGGTGAACCTGTCGAGGAAACCGACGACCGCCTCCTCAAACCAAGGGACGAAGCTTGGGTTGAAGATGCACTCCGCCGCGCCGGCCGCCAGCACCATCCGCAGGCGCTCCTCGGTGCCGGGCTGCAGACCGGCGTCGAAGACCATCTGACACAGACGCTTGCTGCTGGCCAGGATCGCCTCCATGACTTCGGCGCTTGATCACTTGATCTCGCTCGGGCTCTTGCTGCTGATCTAGAAGTAGATGGATTGGAGGGGTGCATTATATAGGGGTACAAATTGCTTCGCGTTCACATCGCGTGCGTGCATATGCATGCATGCAGTTCGTAGCAGCCCCTCGGAATAGGAACCAGCCGCAACCATGCATCGGTGGTCAATCAGTCGAATCATCTTCATTCTAGGTAAGTTCAAACCTCCAATGCCAGCCATGCACCGGTCGGCCAGTTGTAATCCCGCTCGACTGGTTTCAGCGTGTTGATGGAACAAAAGCAGACGATGAAAATAAACAACCACTAGCAAAACGGCCCGTGCGTTGCAACGTGAATAAAAAAAAAATCATAATCTCCAATGGCCATGATCATATTTTGTGGCATCAACGAGATACACTATCACTCTCCAATGGTCATGACCCATGTTTTTTTATTTCCCGGACATTTGTTTTCAAAATTACAAATATTTTCCGCATCCACAAACATTTATGAATTTTTAAACATTTTATTTCAAAATTCATATTTTTTTTCAATTTTCGATTTTTTTAGTACCTAGATTATCTAAAGTAGAAAAAAAAGAAGGAAAACGAAAACAAAAAAGAAAAATAGGCCGCCCAAACATGGGTCACCCCAAAATGCGCGTTGTGTCTTCTCCCAGCGCACAGAGCGCAGT